CGTAGAAAATACCTTAAAAAATTAGTTTTATTAGTTAGGAAAAAAAAAAAACTTATCCACCGCATAATAAAAAAATAAAAGAAAAGATGTAATTGTACTCACCACACGAGCCTTTAAAAGTTAATCGGAGGAAGGAAAAATTAAAATTTGAAAATTTCTAGCTGAAACCAAGTGTCCAATGACCCTTCGAAATGAAGGAATTGCGGCAAGTAATTACTTTGCCAATTTATTTAGTGGCTCTCCTCGGTTTAGGCGTATGGGAGAGAGGGGTTTCAAAAGTTGAGCTCAAAATCTTCTATGAGTTTAGAAAGAATGGTATCGATGGATGAGGTTAATTAAGAAGCCGAGAATTAAGGGATTCTTCAAAATTGATTGTCAAAAAACCTTTGATTCGGTTATGTGGGACTACTTGATTTTGGTCATAGGTTATATGGACTTGGCTTCACATGGCGGATCCGAATCGGACAATGCATTTCTACTTCTACTTTATCGATTTTGATTAACTATTCACCTACTACGAGTTTAACATGGAAAAGGGAATTTATCGGGATGACTTCTTGTCTTGTTTTCTTTTCTACATTGCGGTATAGGGTGGCATTTTTAGTGGTCTCGGCCTAGGCAGCAACATCAAGGCCAGCTATAGCTTCAATATGTTGAGACTTAGGGTCCATCTAAAAATACATGGAAAATTAGAACTAAAGAAAATTTTATTTGGGAGTTCAATTAAAAAAGAGCCTAATTGAAAATTGAGTTGGTAGAGAAAACGAAGAGATGAGAGGAGGAATTGAAAAATAAAAGGAAAAATGGCAAGTTAGGGTTTCCTAAAAAACCATAACCACTTATACTATATAAACATCACTTTCTCCCTTACACAAAGGAGGAGACTAATTCATCTTTTTCATAAAAAAAAACCTAGAAAGAAACATTCTCTCGTAAAAACCAAAAGCCTCTATAGCCACAACTTTTAAAAGCTCGACACCTACTATCATCCATCGCCTTCATCACCTACAACCTCCCTCATCTAAATCTAGCCAACCATTATTCCTACATCTAAATCCTGCCAACTTCTCCTTCATACAACCGAAGGTCGTCACCATTTCTTCTCCTCCTCTATTTTTAGATGTGAAACAACCCCTTTATCCTTAAAATGTATAATGAAAACCTTATTATCCAGCCCCTCTTCTATCAATCCAACCCTTTTTGGCTAGTCTCCCTCTTACTTGCCATCGTTGTTCGCTGTAACTATCCAATAGTAGCTCCTCCTCCAATACACTGCAACTCTTGGCTAGATTCTCCTCCAACGGACCTATTGTTACGAACGCAATCTCTTTAGCGAGTTCCTCCTCCGAGTAGCTACGACTCTTGGTTAGATTCTCTTTCAACATCCCTACCATGGCTACTCTAACTCCTAATGGTAATCGTATGGCATAGCTTGGTCCTAAAATAGTAACTCTACCTAATATATTATATCCGAGTTATCCACTCGACAACAATCATTATCTAGCTACTTTTTTCCACTATAGTGACCCTTTAAAACAACATCCTCTCCTTATTTTTTCATCAATAATTATAGATAGTAGACCCTTTTCATAGTAAATCGTGTTTCAACACTCATAATAGCAGTTTCTTAGCATTCCAGTTCCACAAAGACTGACTTTATACTCTTTCTTTTGGCCAACTTTCCTTTTTCGATTAGAAATACAAATTATTGGATGCTTTGGTAAGATTAATATTGTTTTAAGCTATCCGTTTTAGTTTCTTTTTCTCCTTCTTCACTTGATTTAAGGAACGAAGGATGTTCTTGCTTGCTTTGTGATTAAGACGGAAGGTTTAATTAAATTGAAGACATGATAGCTTAAAGAATCCCTAGTTTGTTTTCCTTTTCCAATGATTTCCAATAATCATGCGGTTGAAATTTAGATTAGTTTGATATACTTGTTGTTTGACATTTTATCGGATGGCAAATATTCCTAAAAAAACCAATGACGAGTCCTAGGCTTGAGAAGACATTTTTGCAATTGTCTCCTTTTAGGTAGTTGGGGAAGAAAACTTGCCGATGAGTATTAATTACTACATGAAACTTCGATTCAAATGGGTTTTAGAAGACTTTCTGTCTCCATCTTTTCCTTAGTTTTGAAGGAAAACTTAAAGAATAAATAAAACAATTCTTGATGAATGCTAAGCTCGTTGATACAAAATGACAATTAGGTAAAACAATTCCTTAGGTACTGATGGAGTAATATAATATTTTTTTTTGAGTTAAATGAAATAGAAAACGAAAGAATCTCATATGCTTACCAAAATAAAACTATCACAAAAAATTTCCAATACAGCGAATCGAACCGAACACCTACCGATTGAGAAAGAAACCACTAAACCCGGATAAGTTGTGAGTGTCCATTTTTATACAACATAGGCATCAGAATCATGTGTTGGAGGCCATAATTCTTAAGAAAGAAGCAAGAATTCCCAAGCACACGGAACCAAATACAAAACATCAAAACTATAGGTTTCCTCCTTGTGATTCCTCGGTTGCTTATTCGGAGCTAGAATATAGCAGCTCGTATGTAAATGGTTCTTAGCACGATCCACTTATTTTTTAAAGCAAATTCATATCCCTAAACTGGTCCATTTTGTTCTATTCATAATCCCCCTATCTTCGGGACAAGCAATTTTACATTAGGCTCTCGGTACAAAATTCCACAATCTAGGCGAGAACTTTCTAATTAGGACAAGCAACATACTAATTGAAATTGCTAATTAGGACAATCAATTTCATGACACAACAAGATCATTGACGGTGTCTTTGAAGTATAACACCTAGACGGAACTTAAGTACCTAAGCATGACATAACAATTCGGACAAGAATTGAAAACTTCTTCTTTCAAGCAAGTTTCTTAATAGGAAAGTCACATTACCTTCGGATTGCCTTGGGATACAGAGATGCTTTTAGGACTCAAAGAAACGATCCTTCTCCGAGTTTGGGAATTCTTTTGAAGACAATTGCTCTTGCTTCCACGATGCTTTAGCTTTAAGTCACAAAATCAAAACAAGACGAGTAGCATATTAGATTGAAAATTTCAAGGGAATTAGAAAAGAAAAGAGTCGGTAATCTAATTGATTGGCCATAAAATTAAACTTAGCATACTTACTATTACGGAGATCAATGATAAAATCAATAATGAGTACCCAATTGATTTAGAGGATAGCTATAATTTTGTTTCTAACAAGAAGGAGACAAGGATGAAGGAGAGGAGAAGAACAAATAAGTAGAGGAGAAGATTGAATAAACGGACAAGAAGAAAAACCCTAAAAGGAGAGAGATAATATAGCGAGGAGAAGAAAACCCTAAAAGGAGAAGAATAATATGACGTTCTTTTCCCTTTCGGAACCAAAACTAAAAAAAAAGGTAAAGAAAGAAGAAGCGAGATCGAAAGATGGAAGAAGCGAGAGAAGAAGAACCTTAGCTAAAAAAGGAAAGCTCTCGATAAGATCTTCACCCGTTCGAACCAAACAAAATTAAAAATGAAGAAGCCAAAGAGAAGAAGGACGCAGCAAATCGAGGAGAATTAGCAAATTTAGAAGGAGAAGCTCGAAAACCCTAAGGAGAGGGAAGATGAAAGAGCTTTTCCCATTTACGAACCAAACTAAAAAAAATAAAAATAAAAAATTATTTCATTAATAAATTAACTCGCGCGCGCCTCTAATTAAACTTTGGGGCGGTTTTGTCAAGCTCGCCTCAAATTTGTTTCATAAAAGTCGCCCCTAGAGTAAGTATCAAAACACTTTGAGGCGGTTTATAAACCGCCTCAACCTTTTCGCCTCTATATCTATTTTTTGTCGTAGTGTTGGATGCTAATCTTATTAATTAATGTCGATGTTTTGAGGTCAATTAAGGTGGCCAAAGTTGGTACACCGACCTTGTGATGCCTCTAGCCACGAAAGGGTGGCTGGAACGCTACAGCAGAATCGAACATTCATGGCTCGCGTTTGCGATAGCTCGGACGCAATTTGCGTCAAAGAAATTCTTAGTCGCGACGGAAGCTTTTGCATGAAAGAAAAAGTTTTAGATACGAATTAAGTTTTTAAGTACGTTTTTAAGCCAAATATCTTCCGTTGTGCATTGTATGTCCCACACATAGTTAAAGGGTCATAGGGCATCGATGCGTATTCGACGAGCGCGAGACGTGGCCACAACGCCCGGCCAATGTTAGGTGCGTGCACTACGAACTGCGTCCAATACTCCATGAATGTTCAACACTATTGTAGCATTCCAGCTTCCTTTTCGGGGCTCGAGGTGTTACGGAATGGTATCGAGCAAGTTAGTTCGGTAGGCTAAGAAAGTACACGCAAACTCCGACTTCCGACAACATCATCGATGCATAAGTGTTTAATTTTCATTAGATATGAAATTGTGAATTTTTTTGCCTAGCAAGTATGATTGTTTATCTCATTATGAACTATGCAAATTGATTGGATGCTTGATGAATTCATAACTTATTTAATTGATGAATTGCTTAATATGCTTAATGCTTGTCGATATTGTTGAAAATGCTTGTGAGTGGCATTATGTATCATGGTGACATTATTGAAATGGCTATAATCGAACAACATGGTGAAGAAAAATAACAATGGTGAGGGTGTGGCATCCACCAGTGAGGGGAATAATGGACCTATGGGTAACGGGATGTTAGCAGAGCATGTCTTTGAGTTGTTATGATAGCAATAGCAAAGGCATGATGAGCGGATGCAAGTGTTGGTGTCTATACGGTAGTCATGAGCCGAGCCTAAGTTGCCATAATGGATTGACATAGTGAAGCGATTCCAAAAATTAAGTCCAAAAGAGTTTGTGGGCAAGGCTGATCCAATGGTGGCTAAGGAATGGATTAAGTCCCTCGAGATGATCTTCGAAGCACATGGAAATGGGTGATGCAAATATGGTGTCATGTGTCATATTCATACCGACCAACGATTCGTGGATATGGTAGGAGTCGACAAAGGTTTTTCTCGAATGTGCCTAACCTTATATGTGAACAATTCAAGAGAGTATTTAATGAGAAGTTTTCCCTAAAAGTGTGAAATCGAAGAAGATTTAATAATTTATGAAGTTGGAACAAGGGGACATGTCGATGGTCGAGTATGTCCTATGAAAGTGGCTCATGTGAAATAATGGTGGATGAAGTTATATAGTATTTGGTAATGTTATAGCCGTCATAAACTACAGCCAACAAAAAACCAAAAGAAGAAACAAATACATTTAAAATTAAGCAACCGATTCCTTTTAATGTGTTGACTCTTATCTTGGATTTGATACATAATTAATAAAGAGATTGTAAAGAAAGAAATTATTAATACAAATTAAGTGTGTAAGATCTGATTTAAAAATTCTTATCTTTATCGTGATTAAAAACCGGTAATATAAGAATATTCTAATTATATATGAAGATAGGGGAAAAAATAAAAATAAAAAACCCGTGAACTTTGTATTTTTTGCCGACCAATTTGACACAGTAAAATTACAAACTACCCCATTCCTAAATTAAAAGAAAAACAAGATTTTGAGAAAATCATTTAATCATCCTCTCTCCTTGCACATTTGTTTCCTTTCTCTCTTTAAGTTTCTTCTTCCTCGCACTCGATGCTAGCCACGCTATTGAACCCATTCGTCGATCTCCTTCTCCCATAACTCTACACATAGCCATCTCCTCGTCAATCCCACTAGTTTCAAACCTCCTCACAGCTCATCGCACCTCCTCGATCCAAAAAACCACTAGTCCTGTAGGTCGTTGTTTAGTCAAAATGCCTAAAATCAATCAAGCCCCGCACACGTAATAGCATTGGACACGTAAATGATTTTTGAAATCTTGATTGAAATTTTGTTTGGTGTGTCTAAGCATGGCTGGAATTTTGGAGAGTTTAGAAAGGAAAAAAATAAAGGATGAAAGAGAGGAAATGAAGGTAAAAAAAAAAAAAAAACAAAAGAGAGAAAAATGAAAAAGAGTTGTTCGAACATTTCACCATCACGCGTTTATCATGTGTGCTCGAGATTTGATCAATGGATTCGGTGGACTTGATTACAAACTAAAAAATAGTTATGGTACTCGAATTGAAAATTTTTTAATTTGGGTTACTAGTTTATGGTCAATGCATAGTACGGAGCATTATCAAACCAATTTGCCTTACATTGAATATTATGTAATATTGCTAGAATGTGGGAATCTATATGCTACTGCCTATTGTCAATTAAGGACCATATTTGGATGTTAATCCTATTAATTAACGTCATAGTTTTGAGGTCAATTAAGGTGGCAAAGTTGGTACACCAACCTTCCATAGACATAGTGATGGGTATTTGAGTTTGCTACAAGTCTGTATCAAATTTTCTTTAATATTAATGGTGTCAATTTTTATTACCTAAAGATATTAACATATTTATGCTTAAAAATAATTTTTTTAAATTTAAGTTAATTGATCCATCTAATTTTGTTTATTACAAGTATTTTCTTATGTGTTCTTTCCAAGACTTTTTATTTTTCTTTTTATGATTATTTCTATATTTATACTGTTTTCCATATACCTTTTTATTATTGCTTTTAGACAACCATCAAAAGAAGACTAAAAAATTTAAAACAGGAAAGAATGGATTTTTTATTTTAATAAATTTTTTTCCATTTTAAATAGAAAAGCAATTGGATTTTAATAAAATAAAAGGCAAATAACTTTCATTTTTTTTTTTTCTATTACAAAACATGTACATACTTTGCTATTGATATGTCAATAACAAAATTAGACCATGGAACTTTATTTTTTATATTTATTATAAAGTATAGGAAGAAGGAATTTATTTGTTTTTAATTTAATAATTTTAGATTTTTAGTATTATTTATAAAGTTTGATTAGGATATTGCATTATTAGAGATTAAATTTACTAGGATACTAATTTCATAGTGTATGACTAGTTAAAGGGAGAAAAACTTCAATCCCATCCAAATTAACTTTAATATGATCCTAAAAGCAAAGCATTTTAACACCCCATTCTTTGAAGCACCAAATCAAAATCAAACTAGAGGCGGTGGTCTCCTTTTAAGATTAGCCGCCTGCAACCCAGACTTCTTGAGACTTGTATCCAGATCCGCTAAACTTTCTAACAAGAATCCAATCTAGTTTAGACCTATAATTGTCCTATTGAAATTGGAGCGATGAAGTTGGATTTGTGTTTTCTTGTTGAGTATGTAAGGACTCTAAAGTTATTTTTTTAAAACCACTTTAGTATTTTTTATTGGTCTTGACTAAGTGGAGTTTTCTTCAATCTTATATAGCCATAAATTTCTACTAATTTATATGTTTATGATGCATGCTTTGACGTTTTGAATCTCTCATATAAGAGGTCCAATTCGTGGGAACTTGATCATGTTGAAAAGCTTTTGTTTCATACTCTTTGTACCAATAAATATTGGATAGTAATAAACATTAATATTGTTGTTGCTCATCGAATTTGGTCTTAAATGTGGAGTAAAGCGACACTTTAATTTGTAACCAAGTACTTCACGAGGAAATAATAAAGGGTTCAATGCTCGCCTAGTAAACCACTAGGACTTTTACGTGGTATTTCAATTTGAGTGATAAAATTTAAAATAAAAAGAGAATATTATGATAAACTAAGATATAAATATTATAAATTGGAAGATACGAAACTTACATCAATAGTTTTGGATGATGCCATTTGACAATACTTGAAGTAAAAAATCCTAAGTTACCGAAAAACAAAATAAACGCTATCGATCTACTTTACGGGAATGTAAGGTTATTCTAAAGGATAAAAGTAAATTGCAGAGCGATCTTGTTGTTCGCCTTCTTTTTGTCTTCTTTCCTTTCTTTTAAACTATGGTCAATGGTTATCGGGTTTTATCTTCTTTTCTGTTTGTTGACATCGATTTGTTTGTGTAACCAAACGAGACGAAACAAAATCTTTATTTCATCGATATCGATTGGCTTGTAAAACCAAACGCATCGCTTTATTTCATACTTATGTTTTATCAATATTGGTTGGTTTGTAAGTCCAAACGCACCATTTCATTTAACATTTTCAAATCTATGTCCGTCGATATTGGTTCGTTTATGAAACCAAATACATCATTTCATTAAGATTCTAAGAATGCATCGTTCTAGTTAAGGTGCAACATTTTAATATGTAATGTCGATTCCAATCGACATGTGGCTTAAATTTTTATATGCCAACACATGCCCCCCTTTAAAGATTGAACGAAGAGTTTTTTCTCCGATGGATAAATCTTTAAATGCCTATTAGACATAATGACACTATGTGACTCCCCATCTTTCTAAAGGCGATTACTTTATGTAGCAATTTGACGTTTCATTTTGCCAAATCTAAACCATCGAGTTTCAAAGGTGAAATCATTACGACCTTTGAATGTATGTGATATACCTTATAATTTTACACTCTTTATGATTCTCCTTACTTTCTACAAAAACTTTTTTCAAAAGCCCTTCCTACCTTTTGTCAAATACTTTTTTCGCTTTGGGATTCTTTCTATTCCATTAGAATGGCTCTTAAAAGAAACCTAAAACCTTCCAAAAAGTTTATGCGGACCAAATTATCTCTATTAACCGACTATCATAGATTTATAAGAGCTCTTTGTTCGACCCAATGGGATCGATACTCACCTCATTCGTACTATTACAAACAACCAAGTTGTCGATGTCCCGGTAGGGTTTAAGAAAAACCCCGAGAGGAGTCCTTATCTAACTCTAAGACCTATAGTCAATGTTGATGTAGTGCTTTTATTGGCGATGATTGATTCGGCTTACCCAAGAACTACTAATGTCGGTATCATTTTTGATCCCGTATTTTATTCCACCCTCTAAAATTAGATTCGCAGTGCTAAAGCATTTCTAGCGATTTGGCCAAGATCGGATGCTAAGTATGAGGCTTCTTCCTCGATTGGGCAAAAAATAGGAAATAATAGGGATTCGTGAGGCCATTATATTGTCGACTCAATCATATTTTCCTAATCCTAGTCCGGTCACGACTTTGGTCTCTTTCTAGAACTTTTACATCAACTAATTCAAATTCCCGAAAGGCCATATGTTAATGACCCTATTAGATGTCATGGCTATTACTTATTTACACCCTTCTAGCCAAACTTTGGCCTTTAAAGCAAATGATGCGAGGCCTTAAGGTCTAAGAAAACGAGCTCCCAACAACGCATGATTAGCCTGGTGGATCGATATGGAGGTGGGCCAACGATATCCCAACACGAGGAGATTAATTTCTACTTGCTATGGATTTGCAAGTACATCATGGGTTCCAAGTTGAAAAAACCAATCAAGGCATTTTTACCCTAGGCCATCAACTCCGGCTACATTCGATGGAATCGAACCGGTTGTTATGGGTTTGATTCTCCTTGTATATGCATATGCAGACCTTCATGATGCATCGACCAAAAGGTTCAAAAACTTATCCCGTCCTCTTTGGTTTATCTAGATGTGGGGTGAATTCTATTTCCTTGCCTTGTACAAACCTCATCCGATCCGGGACGATTTAGAGAGTTATGGCCATTTATTGCTTCATAACACACAACTAACTTATTACTCTCCTCGAAACTATGAATCACATTCTTGATCTAGACAACCATTGAGCAACCTTAAATGATCGGATGCCATTCCATACTCACGGCTATGGATCGTTGTTGTTTCGTTTGAACAAATTACATTGTAAGGTATAATTCTGTGCTAGTGAGCACTCTATCCGGAGTTCAATATCGGTAAGTCAAGAATTGACTTACTCTTTGGGAGCAAGGAGATTCAATCCTTGCTAAAGCCTATTCTCCAAACCTTTATGCTTGACAATTTAGGTTGTTTCAAATAGTGGCAATGCCATTGTATACAATCATAAACCAACCCCGGCAAACGAGGAATGACATCAAGAATTTTCTAAAGGAAATTGATGAGAATGAATCCTAAGTCTTTGCCAATACTCAAGACCTTCGTGGTTATCGCCTTAATATTGGAGTGAATTCAACATTCACCGCAATGTGATCGGTGTTTTGGAGCAACAATTTCCCTCATTTATGCTAAGAGGATTTGCTCTGTGTAATTACCGGTGTATCGATGCAAATGGAATTGACACCAACCGAGGGTGGATTGCTCGTAAAACCGGTGGGCTTTCTATTCTTTCTGTCATTCTTAAGTTTAAAAGGAAATGAGATAAAATTCATTTTTCTTGGTTTTACCCGTTGATAATTTTACCAAAGAAGCCAAATCGGAGAAAGAGAAAACTTATTTTACCCGATCCATCTTCGGAGAATTCATCTTTAGAGGGACAAATCGAGCCATTGCATAGACCTCCGAAAAGACTATTATTGATTCCTCTAGACGCCCCGGTTCGATAGGCCCTACCATTAGAGGTACTTTTTCTAGGCCGTAGCTCCTACCTTCTTCTTCCTCTTCTTCCGAAGTGGAAAGAGTCCAAGCCGAGCCAGGTGCTCAACCTTTACGAGCAACCATTCCGGACTTTGAAGGCTTCTCACCTGGAGGAATAAGAAAAGGTAGCTATGCAAGAAGTAATAAGATTCTTTATCTTTCAATCTGCCATTATTGTCTTATCTTTGATATTGATTTTCTTATGAGTCCTTAGCTCTTTGTGCAGTTGAGAAGATCTAAAAGGGATTTCGACGACCTCTTTCTCTTGTAGAGATTATTGGTCAAACTTTAGAATCTATGTATAAGATTTCTAAGTTTGAACTATTCCTTTGATCGCGAGGTCCATCTAGGCCTAAAGTGGACCAAGTAGGTTTCTTTCAACATCCTTCTTGTTTTGTAACAAAATTTGTTTTTTTACATTATTTGATCATTCTCGTTAGGTAGTTGATCCCGAATCAACTTCTCTTTTGATAAGAATCTTGACATCCGGATCCATCCAAGACATGTAATGACCTTCTCACTATCAAATTAATCGTTCATTTTCTTTGATTTTTGTATACTAATTGGAGTGTTTCAACTTTTACCTCTTGGGCCAGTAGATGTCATTTAAAGAACCATTACAACCCTTTGAAGAATTGTTTTTGGGTCTTCGGGATGAAGTAGGCATAGGAGATCCTATCAATGAAACACCTAGGGGATTTGCAATGAATCAAGCAATATAGTAACATATAGAAAAGCCTATTTTAGCAAAGAGACACATAAAAAGGCCCAAGACTTTCATCATTGAACTCCTTATTAGGATGGAGATAGAGGGTTTAGAAGAGACGCCTTCTTTCGATGCTCATGATATCTCGACCCGGAGGCCTTTTGAAGTGTTGAACCCTCTTGTTAATGTTTCGATGTTCCTCTTTCATAGGATCCACCTACATCTTTGGCGCTCATGTAACCAATGCTTATGGTGGTTACGAGCATCCTAAAGCGATCGATATTCAAACTGTAGGTCCTCACCATGGTCCCGATGAAAGGGTTAATGAAGATGGGGTGGTTTCAACTCATATTACCGAGGTCGAACCCGATCAATTTAGGAAAGCTTCCACTCAATTGAACATTGCTTTAAATCAATAAATACAAGTAATGTCTTCTTTGGTTGTAGCAGGGGCCCCTTAAGGTCTTAGAAACTCGAGTTTTTTTCCTTCCACCAGGTTCTCGGATCTTCTTGATTTCCTCAATTCTCTTCCCCTAGACATCTATGATCGAGAGTCTCTTGATGTATCGAGAGATATGATTGCAGCAGATTTAAAGAAATAACAAACCATATAGGGCTCTTTGGAAGAAAACATTCAAGTTTTTTATGAAAGGAACCCCTACTAAAACTCGCCATAGTGTTGAGGGAGGAACAAGCTGAATTAGATCAAACCGGGGCTTGTTTAGATAAGGAGTTGCAAAAATGAGGTAAAAGTTAGTTGAACCGGAATCCGCTCGATCTACCCTAGAACCCCAAATTGCTAATTTCAATGAGGATTTGCATAGGCATGACTTTATACGTAGGCAAAGGCTTAGCGAGTCGAGCCTTATTGGGGCTTTATATATTATTTTAGATATTCTCGGGAATAAAGCTCGAAATAAATAGTTTTTGTAACAATTGCTAACAATTGCCAATTTTAATTCCAAAGAGATGTCTTTTGAATTAACCGGTTGTTCCGCATTGTTCTCGTGTTATCCTTGAGTTTCACTATACATTTGCCGAATTCTAGAAATCAAAATTCCAAAGTTTCTTTATTCGCTCCCCAAATAGAAGGAACATAAGGCTTTAAGTATTTACCATTAATGCCCCTAACGTGTTCCACCTTGGACGCTTTCTAATTTATAAGTGTTCTTAGAGTATGTCTCCTTAATTTGAAAAGGAGCTTCCCAATTAGGGGACCATTTACCAAATAAATAGTCTTTTATTTCCAATTGGTAATATGACTTTCCAAACTAAGTCCCCGATCGAAGTTTTTACTCTTAACTCTTCAATTGTAAGTTCATGCCATTCTTTGTTTTTGCATGTGAATTCCGTTTAGCCCTTCGATTCACCGTAAATTTAATGATTCCGTTTCAACAAACATAGTGTCCGTATAGTCAATTCTAGACATTTCATTTTGTCTCACCACTCTTAGTGATTAAGCCATAATCTCAAATGGTAGCACAACATCATGCCCATAAGTTAAACAATATGGACTTATGCCAATACTCTATTTAAAACCAACTTGATGGGCCTATAAGGTGTTTTGTAACAAGTCATGCCATTTTGAGGATTATTGCCAATCATTTTTTGGATGTTTCCTTTAATGATTTTATTTGATGTCTCTGTTTGTCCATTGGCTTCGAGCATAGTATGGTGTCGAATTGATTATATCGAAGCTAAATTCTCTTGCAAACCCCTACATTTCTCGCCTTATTAAAAACGGGAGCTTGATCAATAGTAATAGTTTATGGTAAACCAAATATATATATGATGTTTTCTTCAATGAAAAGAATAACCTCTTTTTGGTTTATCGACTTCATGGGCTTCGCTTGTACCCATTTGGTGAAGTAGTCGATGGCTACTCTTATATATGAATGGGATGCTCTCGAAGCTAGGTTAATTTTCCTAATTAAATCCATTGCTCATCCTCTAAACAACCAAGGTTTGATTACCGAATGTAAATCGGATGCGGTGAACCCTAGGTATGTTACGATGTTTTTGGTCTATATCATATCCTTTTGTGATTTCGATATAATTTTTTTTCATTGATGGCCAAAAGAAACCATGTTGTTAAATCATCCACCTCATTTTGTCCCATGCTTGGTGTAATCCATAGAGACCGAAATGGGATTCTCGCCATCATTCTTAAGGCTTTATCCGTATTAACACTTCGAGCAGTATTCCATCAACACCCTTCTTGTATAGCTCATCTTCTTAAAGGACATAGTTTCTCATTAGATGCTTCATATGAGAATTTTGTCTTACTAGTTCGGGATTTGTTAAAGTTGAAATGATTTCGTCTCTCCAATCGAAATGGATCGAAGGATTGAAATCATGTTGATTTTAACCAATTCTTTCTTTGATCAAAATTTAAGAGTACTTTGTCTTCAAGAGTGATTAATTCCTTAAATTTGGTTAAAGGGATTTGATAACCGATGGCCATTTATATCAAATCGTTAGCCAACTAATTTTTTTCCCTAGGGATATGTTCAATTTTGGTTACATCAATTTGGCTTAACAAATCTTTCACCTTTTTCGATGCAATGTTCCAAAATGCCATTAATGCACTTGGCATGACCTAGTATCCGATTGATTATCAATTGTGAGTCTCCGTATATTTTGATGGTGCTCACTCTTGCTAAGAGGCACTTGAGGATGATAGCCATTAGCTTGGCTAATAGGTGGGTGAGGCGAGATAGCCATTAGTTTGGCTAGCAGGATTGCCAAGAGATATTTGAGGATGATAGCCATTAGCTTAGCTAACAGTGTAGCGCATGAGTGCGGATAGCCATTAGTTTGGCAAATAGGATTACCGTGGAGGTACTTGAGGATGATATATAGGTAGTTGGGTAGGTGGTTGAGTAGGATAGCCATAGGTTTAGCCATGATGGGTATGTGTGTACGTACTCGCGGTGGGTCTTGATAACTCCTATTGAATGCTCGTTGGAGATAAGTAGGCGGATACCCAAGAGGAATGTTCTGTTACTCTAGTTGGACATGCTCCATGTCCATCTTCGACCACCTCTTTCCCTTTTCCTTTTGTCAAAAATACGAGGTGCCTAACATTTTCTCTCATTGATTGGGTGGCATTTGTAGCAGACGTCGAACCTTGGTTCGATGGTAATTTCAACTTCTTTGGCTACCTATTTAGCCAATGGGTAAATAGTCTCATTGAACAAGTGATTCATATCTCGCAATCACTCGTTGCTATTACAACGCATAGATTTTTTCATTTTGGCAGTATGGTGATTGGCCATATCCATGTTCTTTTTCAATGATTCGACTATGAAAGCTCTCATCCTACTCGATGTCTTCTTCAAGCCGATTTGACACTAGCTACAAGTGTCAATTTTTTTTGAGTACCTACGTCCACTCGTTGGATCATAGATCTTGTGAAGCAATTCTTCCATTCGTTTCGATAACATTTATCAAACATCAAAATTTGGTTCGTTCATTACTATGTCTTGTCCCTTATCGGTAGAGGCATCGCTCCTTTCCGGGTTCATAGGCTCTTGACTTTTGATAGCAAATTTATTTCGACCATTGTTATGGCTTTTGTTTGCCATATTTTCGGATAATCTCTTTTGATCACCCATAGTCCGTCCACCAATGTGGTTTCCCGTGTTTCCTTTTTCTTTCGTAGGCATATTTTCAAAAACTTGGATCATTCCTTCGACGTAAACCGATTGTGTTTTGTCGAGTTGGTCTTCTCCAGTGGTTGAATGTTTCATCATGCTTCTTGTAATACATAAATAAATTAATGTTACACTTTAACACAAAATTTTATCTTCTCTCAAGATTAATTCAGCCTTTCGCCGACCACAACTTTACTTAACAATCAAATAAACCATTAAAAATCACACTTTATTTACTACATACAAAACCAAACAAAAATTATGTCCATCTACCACAATTTTCAAACCAATAAACCTACTTAGTTAATTTAAAGCACACAAAAAAACTCTTCCTCTCCACTCAACCTTATCTAAATTGACCATACCACACTAACACAATATTTTTTTTTTCAAAGAAAAACTAGTTTCTCTCTTAACCTCGTTTGGCCAAAAAAAAAAACGAAATCCAACAAACAATTGTTCCCTTTAAGAATACCTAGCCAATAGCTCTTCAACTCAACAATGCTTCATTATGTTTCTCACCATTTCACCTTCAATAGAAAATACTCGTCGCACTAAGAACAGAGAAGAATTGAACTTGAGGATTCAAAACAGAACAACCGTGGCATAGTTGCTCTAGCATGATACTCTCAACCCATATGTTTTTCCTTTCTACTAAATGCACAATTTGTTGTTTCTACATTTATTAAACAATTAATCTATAATTTTCTTATATAATCAACACTACAGTTGTCACAACTACTTGGATAAAACAATTTCTATATAATTAGCATATTTATAACAAATTTTTGCTCAACTATTTTTTGTTTATTTTCTAATAACATGATTTTCACAAACACCTTGCTATTTGTTTTCATAAAACAAAGATTTCATACTCTTCCATTTCTTCTCATTTTTTTTAAAACCTTAATAAATCAACCTATAAATTGCAAGCTTTATTTTTTGGATCCAATGTCTATTTAAGCACTTAATTTTTCCTTTCGGTGAAAAACCAATTTATTTTTTATCCTTGATGTTTTAAAATAATATCTTTGGTCCCTTGGGTAGGTCTAGGCATGTAGGTCCGCCTCTTTTCTTTTTTTTTCTTTTTTTTTTTCCCTTTGATTGTTCCCATCAATTTGTTTTTGTTTTTTAAATTATTTAATTGGGTATGAAAATTACAAAAAACTAATTGTTATTTTTTCCACACAAACTAGCAATTATGGAAATATATGATATGATTTAAGATTTAAGATTTAATAAATAGATTTAATATATATATTGTTTAAATTTAAATATATATTACTCTTATTGTTTAAAATTAATCTCTTCAACTTTTCGTTTCTCATAAAAAATCTCATCAAATTAATTTTTTATGTATTTTTTCATAATATAATTTATTTTCTTTATGCTTGGATTTTTGAATAAATTATTTTGTACTTGGTTTTATTTGCTTATTCTTTACATACTCAAAATTTCAAAATAAAATTTACATGTTTTTTTTTTCTTATCCTTTATATAATCAAATATTATCATAGTTAATTTTGTAGTTTATTTTATTGCACTCTAATTAATTTCAATATATATTTTACAACTTAAATTTTTTTAAAATATTGATTATTTTTTGCTATAGACTTTGATCCATTAAATATAGTTATGATGTGTGTGTTGCTATATATATATATACCATTTGTCTCCTATTGCTGTTTGTGTAGAAAATTATTTTCAATATACAAGCTGACTAAAGTTAGCAACTAAATGATCTTTTTGATGATACAGAAGTTTTACATGTTTTTAGATAAAATACTGTGAGATTTTATGTTTATTTGCTTGAACCAGAACAAGTGTCTCAGTTCTGTTTTTTAATGATTGTGTTTCTCATGCTAATTGTGTGCTCTACCAAGAAGAAGCAGGGAGTATCCGAGCCTATGTCCACAGTTTGTTCTTGGACTTCCCATTTTTTGCTCAACAATTCAACTAATCATTGTGATGCGAGTTAAACTTTCCTAATTGATCTGCATCAATACTCCCTCTTAAGAAACCTTGTCCTCAAGGTTTAAAAGTAGAATGGGCAAACTAGGAAAGCATTTAATGACATTACCTCACTAAAAATATGAATTCTGTTGGGACCAGAAAACCACATGCAGTATGTTTTCCTTCTCCATCATAAGGCCATGTTACCACTCTGATGCACCTAGCCAAGCTTTTGCACTCAAGAGCCTTTAACATAACCTTTGTTAACACTGAGTTCAACCATAGGCGATTGATCAGGTCGAGGGGACCAGAGTCTATTAAAGGCCTGCCTGATTTCCAATTTGAGAGCATACCAGGTGGTTTGCCTTCGTCACCATCTTGTTTTGATGCAACACAAGATGTTTCATCTTTGTGTGATTCGACGAGGAAAAGTTGTTTGTCCCCATTTAAAGAGCTACTTACGAATTTGAATTCATGTCTGAAGTGCCTCCTGTTACTTCCACAATTTCAGATGGAGTCATGAGCTTTTTCATAAAAGCTGCAAAAGGGTTGAACATTCCACCGGTTCAATTTTGGACAGCCTCAGCTTGTAGCTTCATGGGGAATTTACACTTCAGTGAACTCAAGAGAAGAGACGTCATTCCATTTAATTTGAAGGTATGTATTTCTTGGCTTATCTTAGTTGCTACTTTTTATTATCCAGTAGTGCATGCAGCGTGCTCCCTGGCTACTTCTCCAGTGACCAAGGACATAAATTTATCCTTTCATTGTTTCAGAAGAAAATTTTCTGCGAGATGGTGGTACACCTATTGATTGGATCCCAGGTTTATACTGTTAGCGTAAGAATACAACCGAGAGAAACGGAGGCGTAAAGTAGGGAACAAAAGAAAAATTGAGGTATCTGCTTAGTTTATTACAAAAGACTCTTGCAGTCTTTATAGGCAAATACATAATAGAAATAACATAAAAATTGAGGTAACTGGCAACAACTCTTCCTAAAACTTAGATAACAAGCCATGTTCTCAGCAAATACAATAACTGAACTCCTAAAGACTAGCTAGGACAACTTTGACTGAAACAACCCAAGAGAAAACATGCAGAACTACAACCATTATTATTCTTAACAACTACAAGAATAGAACAGATATAACTTATTAATTACACCAACTTCTCTCTCTCATTCTTGTGGAATCAATCAATGGGATGGATTCTACAAAAAGCATGGTAGATTTAATGCCTTAAGTTCAGTGAATAAATCCCTTAAAATGCAGTATCTCATTAATGAATTTATTGAAATTATTGTAGGATGAGCCTCCAATGCTAGCAGCAGCTTCAGCTTTCTTCTTCCATTGCAAAGCTTTGTTTTTCATTTGCTTCCCTTTCTCCCCTTCCATCATTTGCTTAACAAGGGCTTCAATTTCCTCGCGCTTTACATTATGGTTAATCTCCATACCGACGTCCCAAACGGTGCACGAGTACCGGCAATTCATTGGTTGTTCATCGAAGAAAGGCCAGCAAAGCATAGGTCTCCCATTACATATACTCTCTAAGGTAGAATTCCATCCACTGTGTGTCAAAAAAGCTCCAATTGATGGATGCGATAGTACTTCATCCTGAGGACACCAAGGTGCTAGGAACCCTCTATTCTTGATCTCCTCATGGTATTCTTTTGGTAAAAATCCAGAATTTCCCATCACCACGTCAGGCCTAACTATCCATAAAAATGGATGATTGCTGTTCGCCAGCCCCCAAGCAAATTCTTTGAACTGTTGGTCTGTCATGACTGTTATGCTACCATAATTCACATACAGCACTGAGCTGGGCTCTTGTTTATCAAGCCATTCAAAGCATTTCAAGTCTTCCTTCCACAAGTTTGACCTAAGTGACGTTGCTTGTGTTGGAGGCATTTGCCTTTCCAGCAAAGAAAGTGGGCCAATAGTATAAATGTGAGGAAACTTAGCAGCAATAGCTTCTAGCACTACGTGTTCGATCTCATCAAATGTGTTGAAGATAATTGCAGAAGCTTTTAAACATTTTTGTGCTTCATCACTCATGAAATTCAACATTATGTCATCACGGTCAGTGGTTCTGATCAAGGTTGGCATATCCTTGAGGCGAATGTTTTTTACACCAGGGATCCAATCAAGAGGCATGTCAAGGGTTCCATCATTAATGAAGTTTTCATCTGAAAAACATTAACAAACAAATCCTGTCACACAGTGGAAAGCGAAGGATGTTGAGCCAAATAATACTATAATGTAGAACATAACAAAATGTTGATAGTGGTTGGTATTTTGC